GACTCGACCTTCTTGACCTAATGACTTGACTCGACTCGAGTCACTTCTTTAAAACGACTCGACTCGACTCGACTCGAGTCACACAAACCAGCGACTCTATACAACTCTGCACAACTGTTAAGGGGGCAGAAATCATAGTTTCCATTTTGAGAAGAATGCCGTTGAAGAGATGTCATTATTTTATTTCTATCCAGTTTCTTTCTCTTTTCCATCATTTTGTCAGTTTGCAGCTGCTGACGCTAACTTTGCGTGTTTACCCGTAAAAATTCAGTCCATGATTATTACGCATTCATCTAAAAAAAACTATCAATTTACAATGCAAATAGTTCACTTTCAATTCAAATTCAACATCCCTTTTTGCAGCTCGTGCATTATCCTCCGTACAAAATGTTGTCGCAAAAAAAAAACCCAATGGCGCCATTTCATGCTAATTTATACGAAGTATATTATTCCCACAAAAAAAATACCCAAATGAACAATCATTTTCTGCAAAACGAATTAAGGATAAAATGTATAAATCATTATGAGACTCGCAAGAGAAGATCACACCTGTTGACGATAAACCAATTAACGGAATTATGGATTTTTCTTTTTTAAGGGGGGGGGGGGGATTTTGGATTGTGAATGTTGAAGTGGCTCCACGACATTCAAGACCAAAAAACAGAGGACGAGTGTCGTCAACATGTGTTGCACATGTGCTGCGCGGCCGGCGGCACTGAGCCGTGCCATTTGCCGGTCCACTGGCCGCATGCACGGGACTCATTAATAGGCCATTCAAATTTTAATTGTACGATTCATAGACAATTTTCTTTTGAGATTGAAATCAAATGCATTGATGGCATTGTATACCAATGGATATTCATCTCGCATGCCCTGGAGCATTCGAACTGTACTTTTTTTTTCAAAAATGGATAAAAATAATTCTGTATAAAATATTGGGTCTTACGCAACCTGGACCCTATTTCGCGGCACGGCTAAGCACATTTGCTTAGCTTAGCACAAAATAGTCTGGCTTATAAAAGCAGGTTACCAGCCAAAACTCCATGTGATTTTCATGCTTAGCAAACAACAGCTGAATAGTAATCACGAGCAATATACATCACATGGAGTTTTGGCTGGTAACCTGCTTTTATAAGCTAGACTTGTTTGTGCTTAGCGAATTTTTTGTGCTTAGCAGCGCCGTGAAATTGACTCAAGGCTTGGACTTGAGGGTATACCTTATCGATATTCGCAATGCATCTTGGAAATGGATGACAAAACAAAACCAAGCAGTTTGTGCACAAACCAATGGGGCTGTAAACCAGTTAATACTTTCATTGAACTCCTGCTAATTATCATGTCAAGTATTTCGTGATTATCTTTTCACACATTATTTCATTGGTAATATGAGGGGAAAAAATAATGGTTGTCAGAATAAAGAAAGTTTGGAGCAAATCCCATTTTAGATACCAGTTACATGACTCATGGACCATGGCCCTGCGGCTGCATTCCCCTTCCTGCGCTATCTTTTGTCAGTGAGATGTGCCATGCGTTGTGCCTCGGCACACCTGATGCGTATAGTTTTAGTAGTTTCAGTGAACGATATTGGTACCTACGGAGCTCCGAAGGTGCCAAGCAAGTTGGTGTAATGCTATCCAAATGTCGTCGTCTTAATGCACCTTAGAATATATCTTCCTGCAACGACATAATATTTTCACATATGAAACTATCATTTCCTTCCTCGTCTTCCAACAAAGGACACCACTGGAAATAAGTGTAAAGTTATTTGGGGCTATCCCTGCCATATGCTAGTCTGAGTATCACCCGTTGTCCAACGGAGCCCCCTCTGTCTCTGACTGATATAACTAAGCATTTATGAAATCCTCGCGCGCCAGCCAATCGGAGTCGACATGACGTCATTTCATCCCGAAATCTGGACCAAGCTGTTGATTGGTCTATTTGGATGTTTTTGTAATACAACAACGGACAAAGATATCTAATTAAAACCGCATATTGGCTTTGACAACGGATTATTTCGTTATCGAACACCCGATATAGAAGGCGCCCGCTGACTGGTCAAAATCTCGAAGTCAAGACGCTGTCTTGTTTTGCATAATTAATCGCCGAATCTGCTCACATATCATAGACCCTTGCTGTGTTATGCTGTGTTATGCAAGGGGATATTCCATACACTAACCATAATGCCAGGACTGATTTGAAAATCAGCAGATTTACAGGCACAGTTTATTTTTCGCGACGAAAGCATTCTTCACTTTGATAATAAAAACAAGACAATCCAAATAATTTCATCACAATGATGTCCTGAAAATACCAATTCCCATTTCACAAACTGCCTATCCGATAACACCCGTTATTGATCACCGATAGTTATTATTCATGCTCGGTTTAAACAGAAAGAAAACACGCCATTTTTTACTCGCCAAATTACCATTTAATCGTCTTTTTTATTAGTATGAATGGTCTAATTCGTTAGCCGTAGTTCGAGCTGTTTGTTCTGTCTCGTAATTACTATCATTTGTCACCTCTCCGTGCAGCATCTGGCACCTCGCGTATTAAACCCAGACATGGGAAGGGGAAGGTGTTGGGGGAAAAAATGTTATAACTGGTTGCTGAAGAACAAACAATTAACCTGTAATATAATAAATTGATCTGGTGGTTATTGAAGTAAATTGGCTTTATTGTGTTTATTCCTGTGTCATCCGAAGGACTGCAAAGATATGATTTTTTTGTTTTATATCAAGCGAATATTTTTTTCTATGAACTATGCATTTTTGGACTATGAATTTTGATGCATTTTTACTTCTTTTTTGATAAATGGTCTTTATGTTTCACTGCGGTAAAATCCCCTTCGATTTTTCGAAGTGAGAATATTCAAATATTCTTGTGAGACTAAATTTTGTTTGTGTTTTTTTTTCATGCTGTTGATGTTTTTTATTGCCTGTGGAAAAATATACTGAATTGATTGATTGAAAACTTTCAGAGCCATGTCTAGAAACGTAAGAGCTCCATAAAATGGAAAAAAATATTTTTTTTTTAATTTTTTATTTTTTTTATTGCGGCATTAGCTGTGCTGGTAAATTATTGGAGAGAGGAGACCACGAACCTGTATCACACACGAACACAATTCACAGGCAAACAAGAGGAGACTATGTCGTTATTTCACAACACATTTACATATGTAAATATGTGTTATGAAAATGTAGTCAAATTGGAATTGAAATCGAGGCTGTCAGTGCCAATGAATATTTATTGAGGACCTTTTCTTTATGTTTAATCCTCTCAACAAACGACATCACCGATGCCCTCGATTTCAGTGCCAATTTAAAATCCGTCAATTTGAAGCCTATTTTTATTTTTGTGAATCAATGGTCGGCTTTGGATCGCTGGATGTAGGCCTAATTATAATGCTAATTGATTTAATTAATTGCGAGAAATTTGGCGCGCGCGATGTGTCAGTTTTGGTGTTGCACGTGCGGCCCTATTGTTTCGATGTGGCAACAGCTTGAACCTTCGCGGTTTTTTTTCCATTGTTCCTCATTTTTGTGTCACGCGAGAGATGAATAATTTGTCACTTTGATTTGTGTGTGTGTGTGTTCCGCAAATGCTTTCTAATTGAGCGTCATTCATACTCCATTGCGCAGTTTATGTTGGAAATGGGGTTTTATTAATTCTCTCGTCTCTATGCTAACTCCTTTATTCCCTTACAGATCTGATGACAGTTATGAGTCACAACCAAGCAATGATAATATTTATGGTAGTTAAAATTTCATATAATGATTGTATTCTAAATAATAGGATGACATTGGTCAGTACAGGCAAAGGCAAATTCAAATGAGGTTCGTGTGGTGCCTCTTTTAGAGACGCGTACTGTGGTACGATGGTGTTACAGGAACCAGACAAAGATAGCTTCCAACAATGATATGGAATAGAAAATTAGAAGGAAGGAGGCTGCCATCTTTGTCTGGTTCCTTTAACATCACCATACCACAGTACGCGTCTCTACAAGAGGTATCACACTATGAACCTCGTTTTGAATTTGCCTTTTACCACTTATTGGATTTTGCTTCAGGCTTCGGATTCGTCTTTTGGGGTCATGATTCTTGACCACTTTTTGGTTTGGTACGACGAAGGACACAATTGCGTGAATGAGTTTTTCACCTTTTTCAGGAAGACACATGTAACTGAGATCTCATAATTTTGTTTTAACATCGTTCTAAATTTCATTGTGTGTGATGTTGTTATTGAAAGAAATACGCGAAATGCAAATGACCAACATGACTTTAAGTTCGACCTTGTAGTTGAAACACACGTTTCATATTATCATTTTTATTCATTCCGCAAATGTCCCATTGTTATTTCTTAGAACTGAACATTTCAATGAACTTTCAGAACCCTCTATGGTTCAAGTACCAAACTTCATCATGTTTCAATGTAATTAACCTATCGCGTTAGGATTGCGTCAACGCAGCCTGTGAAATATTGTCCAATTGGGGCCGTATCATAAGTCCGACGCCTCATAGGTCCGACGCCTCATAAGTCCGAAATTTCGGACGTATGAGGCGTCGGACTTATGAGGCATAAAATTTATTTATTCCGCCTCATAGGTCCGACGCCTCATAAGTCCGACGCCTCATAAGTCCGACAACGGAAAAACGAGGCGTTTAATTTGTCGGACTTACGAGGCGTCGGAGCTATGAGGCGTCGGATCTATGAGGCGTCGGTCTTATGAGGCGTCGGACCTATGAGGCGTCGGACTTATGGGCCTTTATTTGGTTAGGGGATGCGATTTTGTCGGACTTATGAGGCGTCGGACCTATGAGGCGTCGGACTTATGAGCGGACCCCGTCCAATAACAAGATATACAAATGGACGCGGAACGCGCAAAATCTGAGACAAACAAAACTCAATGTACAAAAGTTCCATAGGGTTGTCTAAGGGGCGTGGCTAACGGCGATAGGTCAATTTAGGGAAAGCAACAATTACGACAGAGGCCAAAAATGTTCTTGTATCATATATCTTTAATTTTTCCTTCTTTTTAATCGAAAATTGGGGAATCTTTTCACAAAATTACTACTTTTTTAAAGATGTGCTTCAAGCCATAAAATATCGTTCGTGTGACCATTTATGTAGTTCGTTGGAGATTTAATCAACAAATAAAACAAGCTGCTATAATATAAAACAAAACAAATCTATTGCAAAGAAATGACAAGAATTTGCATTTTTTTATGCGAGATTAATGATTAACATGAACAAACACATCTTAATGTTATTAAAAAACTGTCATTAATAATTATTTTATTCATGGTATTTCATCATTTCTTAATTATCAGGACAAACGAAGCAAGCTCTAAGAGTGGGAACCAGTTAATGCTTGGGACCTGTTATTGAAGAAACTATCGCGTCTGTGTGAATGTGTTACTTGGGAACCAGCGAACAAAATATGCTGCAATTAAATTTGTTTGCATGTCCCCATAAAACTAAAAAAAAGCAGCTGAAGTATTTATTTTCTTTCTTTTGAAAAAAAAATGCGATTCTACGGTGGCCCCGGAAGGATATCAAGAAGATACTTATTTTTTCAAGACATCGTGAACTTAGTCACGACATTGCAAACCGAAACGACGTATAAACAAAATATGAGCATTTTTAAAACACTTTGTAACTAAAAAACAAAAAAAACCAAAAAAACGATAATAGCTATGTGCCAAAGTTATTTACATAAATGTATCAAGATTGCACCTGGTAGCCTACACATCCTACACTGAGAAGTATCGACAATATAATAATGTTACCAACTAACACATTTACTCACTGACTTAGGAGGCCTTAAAAATAAGAACTCACTATGGAGCGCCTTGTTAGACAAAGGATCAATAATCGTTCTTTATAACAGAGACAAATCAAAATGCTTCGATTTTTTTTAATCACGCACAGAATAGGAAAATAAGTTAATTTTTACATTCGTTTATCCGTCGATATTATTGTTGATATATAAAACAAATCAGAGTATATACAAAGTGTTGGTATTGCTTTTGTGTGATTAGAAAGGTCAAACTGTTTACCACGCCACAACGGTGACGTCATGATGGCGTCGTGGTAACCCAGTGACGTCATAAGATATCCGATGTCCCATGAAAACTCGGACTCCGTACATGCATCTTTAGATTGCATCGCCGAAGCACGCGCGTATAAGTTTAAAAAGAAAAAAAGAAAACTAGAGCTTGTTGCTGTCGTAGAATTTGTGTACTCATATTTTTAAAATCGTGTTTTGCCAAATGCGCATGCGCAGTGCGCTAAGCGAGGTTTGGTGTTAAAGGGCCTATTTCTAGCCCAGCAAAATATTGCTTACTTTTTTTTAATATTATGCATAAAGTTAAGATTAAGCAAGCATTGAGCAGTTTGCAGCACCTATTGCTTTTTTTTTTTTTTTTTTACTTTTTAGGTCTGAAATTCACAAGACATCGAATCTCAATTGTGACGTCACTCAAATTCCATGACGTCACCTGTGAGAGGCATAAACCACATTCCATGCACACCAAAGTGTAAACATGCACACGTTGCCACCCAGTTTGACCTAACAGTCCATCCCCATGTGGAAATGTCCTCTTTTTTCCCGCCAAAATGTCAGTGATGACCTTTGACCCCGATGACATCACATGACGTCAATGTCCCTCTCCTCCTCCTCGTCTTCTTCGTCGTCCTCGTACTCGCCGTCCCGACCGGCCGCGGCGGGGCTCCTGCGCCCGTCGTCGTCGGCCGTCTCGCCCGTGGAGCAGGGGCTGCTGGCCGGCGAGTCGAGTATCTCTCCGTCTAGGTCAGAGCCCTGGTCGGCCTGGCCCAGGCCATGGTGCTGGTGTTCATGTTGGTGGTGGTGGTGGTGATGGTGGTCGTGAGGATGCTGGGTTTCCGGGCTGGACTTCTCCTCGGCCACGTCGCTCAGGTCCGGGTTGGGGTTGGACTTGTTGGGCAGGGTGGACTCCCGCGAGCCGCCCGAGGACAGCAGCTCTCGCTCCTTGGAGTTACGCCACTTCATGCGCCGGTTCTGAAACCAGATTTTCACCTGTGAAAGAAGCCAGTGAAAAAAATTAACATTATTATTGATGTAAATAGAAGATACCTTTTTGGGACTTGGGTTACAGAGCTCGTATCAGGAGCTTGCGACACCATCACTGTGTCTTTATCAACTGGTGTTGTTATATTAGGTGGATGGGGTGGGATTGTCCCCTCTTTAATCCATCATGCTCTATGCACTGTCAACAACTTGGTGAAAAATACGTTGAGCATTGTTAATTTCCAGATATTTGTCAATTAATATGAAGTTACTTCAAGTGTTGGTTAATGTTTTGGGAAGAAATTGCGAAGTGTACACAAAGTGAGGCACATTATAATTTTGCCAGTTTCATATGAAATTTGGACTCCTATGAAATCTGGTCCCTTTTACCCCACCCATGACATGCACTTCACTTAGGCATGCGCAATACAACCAAGGAGTCAGTATTTCTTGGAGTCAAAATTCCACACTACACCGGGAAGTTGTCACTTTTTTTATGTTCAATACTGGGTCTCTGATAAACTGGTTAACAAGTAAAACGGTTAAAAAAAAAAATTTCTGCTAAAAGCAGAACTAGCGTCTATGGCATATTTTTGTCTATAATAGAATAACACAATCCTTTCAGAAAATCAACAAAGTGATCAATTTCATTTATATTCCTGAAACCCGGCCGTTATTTTTCCGCATGCAACATCCGGGATCTTTGCCTTGTTCAGCACGTCACTAATCTTGTATATACATGTATAATAATATCTCTACGGAAACAAGCGTCAGATTCACCGTAAAATTAAAAAAAAAAGATCATGACATTTTCTTCGGATATCCGGTAACAAAATAATGCATGATTCCTGATTCATTTCAATGAAAAGAAAACAATTAGTACGTTTCGTCATTGAGTCTAATATTTCCCCCAAATTTACCTTTGTAAATTCACAAAATGGCAATAAAAAACTCTGCTGTTTATCCCTAAGCAAACTGCGGGAGACCATGAGTGTTAATTTACACCCCCCTAAATGCGATCTGGTTCTGTTGCCTCAAAAAAGTTGCAGACGACAACAACAACACAAAAACGACGTGTGGTAAAAACGCGGTAAAATGAAACGACTCGTATTTCTAGCATCGCTCACCCTTTTGGACCGTTCTCATTGGTCAGATTTTGTAGGCAATGGCGGCGGTGATACTCTTACAACAAATCCTCGCAATGAGCAATCTCGCGAAATTGTTCAGGTAATCACAGGTCACAGTTTTGTTGGACATTCATTACCTTGCATGCAAGTTTAAGGGATCGCTCATCTTTTGCCTGTCCTCATTGGTCAGCTATTTGGGTATTGGTGTCGATGATACCCTAACAGCCATTCCTAACAATGAGGAATCTCGGAAATTGTTCTGGTAATCTCATGTCACAGTTGTTTGACATTCATTACCTTGCACGCAGGTTAACACCGTGTTACACATGAACTAGATCTTTTTTTTACCGCCAAAAGGAAAATAATAAAACTCGACACCGGTCAAAAACATCAGGCAAATAATAGTCCTTTGCCTCCACCGACCGCCTTCGAATTCATGGCTGGTGTCAAATTCGAAACTTTTGCAAGTCAGATATGCAGATAATAGTTCTCTTTTTTTAATTCAATCGTTCTATATCGGTACCGCCGAGGCAATATTATTCGGGCACAAGTTGACCGGGCTGGCGATAGACCGTGAAGGGGTGAATTTCGCTGCAGGAACCCCCCGGGGGTCGTTTATTGTTACGGTGAACTGATGACCGACCACGCAAAGTTCGTCGGATTGGGAACACTTTGGGAAACATTTTTAGTTCTTGTATAGAGAACAAAAGACTCAAAGAAAGGTACATTGCAGACTCCTTTGGGCACGCACTTTGAGCCCCTGTTTTGTTTTCTTAAGTCGTGTGGCCTTTTCAACTATATCAACAAACAGGAGAATTTGTAGGTTATGGTTTGGGGAATTTATTTCCATCGTTAGCGTATTGTAGAGTAAAGAATTACTTTTGTAGTTAATCAATGGTGCTTGTAACCATGCGGTACATCGTTTACGCAAAAAAGACAGCTGTACGTTTTCGGTTAAGAGCAGTCAATTTAACTCTGGCTGGACTAGTTTTCCTTGAATGGTCCCATACGAAATATGGAGCGAATTCTCCCGGAATATAGAACAGAGAATATAATTTGCGTAACAATCATTCATGAGCTTATGCTTATACCGATAAACATTCATGTTTCGTTTGCGCATGTGGTGTGCCGGTACGTGCGGCAGCCAACGTTCATGGATCACTGCGAATGTGAACATGGGCCCGTTCTATATTTTTCCCCCCGTCCGAGAATATAATAATTTATGGCACAGACTATAAAATAGACTTTACTGTTTATGGCTATGACATTACGTGTAGCCAGGGCGTACATGCGATGGGTTTCCTATAACATAGCAAGGAGCGGGGTTTTTTTTCGTGAGTGAATGAATGATCATAATTTTTTAATGATCTGAAACATTTCGATAGTTTAAGTAAGTACAAGATTCAGAATTGGTTCAGTGTGTTCTTTTATTTTCCTTTTTACCTAACCTTGAAAGGGCTTTGTTTCCCTGGAGCTAGAGTTAAGTTACCGGCTTCTCAAGAAAGAAAAAATTATATCATGAAAATGACAAAGTTTTAGTTTTTATCGAAAAAAAAATTCATCGCAACAAATAAATCAAGGTAGTCCGATGACAAACTTTGAAAATGACTTTTTTTAATAGATTTTCTCCGTTTTTGGGCACTGAAATTTACTTTGGGGAGGGGGGTTGAGATTGTCCCCTCTTCTAGACTTCGGGGTTTGGAAACGAATCAAAGGTCAAGGGAGGTCAAGCTTTTGTAATAAAAAAGCAACGAAGCCTGAAAATGCCATCTGTGTGCTCCTTTTTTTTTTGGAAGACCTTGTTTTGTGCTCCGGTGGGTTATTTATTCCATTCACAACGCCAGAATTAATGTTGTTAATTCTTCCTTATGTTAGCATGAAATTGCTGTTCTTCGGATTCGGTTACCCCTATAAGTTTTTAAAGATAAGTCGATTATATTTCCTCTCTCCGGTTAGCATAAAAATCTTGTGAACCTGTGTCGTCGATTGCCACAAGATATCGCGTAACGTGGATTGCACCATGCACCGGCCCACAAGCAGCAGACGCGGGAGTCACCCCACCCCCACCCCCCAAAAAACACTCCGAGATGATGCCAACATGAATATTACATTTTATTGCGAAATAATAAAAAGAGAAAACCTCGCGATTCGTGTCCACGCCACGGCCACGGCAGCACGCACAATACCCATTCAGCTCAATAAGCGCAGAGGTCACTGCGCAGCTGACCTCTTGTCTTTTCTGAGCGGACGCGGCCATGGCAACACCACCTCGCCGGAGTAAAACTTTACGACGTTCTCCCCTACTATTCCTGCTTATTAGTAACACTCGTCTGCTGAATTAACGAGACCAACAGTCTTCTCTTTATTATTATTTTTTTGTCAAAAGAAGACTATTTTTTTATACTTACAAAAAAGAAGAAGACATAAACACAATCAAACCTGCACGTGCAGACGGTTTGGTTAAGCTCATCTATTTTGGCGGGATTATTGTATAAAGTCGGCTATCGTTTGATCGATTGTGATTGGCCATCTTATTCCTCTTTTGGTAATTCTTTGAAGTGTTCAACCTTACTATATTGAATGAGCATATTATCTGCGCCACTCTTCGGCAGCCGCTGTCAGATTATAAAGATGAAATCTTGGTAAAGATTTGTAAACATTAAAACATGTCCTTCAGAAATGAAGTTATTGAAGTCGTATTTCTTTTCTTTCTGAACAAGAACGTCCCAATTTTCGAACAGCTGACAAGAGTTGTTGGACATGCGTAAAAGACATTATCACCACGGGTCGTTGAACCACGGCATAATGTGGGTCGCGTGGACGGTTTTCACTTGGCGGACTATTTTTTTTATATATTTTTTTAACTTCATGTCGTGTAGCTGGTGTCGAGTGACAACGACAAGACGGGAACACGCTTGGGAATTGGACCCGAGGGATCTGCAATTTGGACTTCATCTACACGTCGGCAATAGCCAAGTCTATTGAAACCGCTGCGATGTGACGTAATAAAATCCCGCTCAGCTGTTATTTTGCAATTGATGGTAATTTCAATCACAGTGAAAGTGTACCTCTTTATAATCACAAAACAACAAAGAACCAAAGAAGATATACAAAGTATAAAAGTAACTGAATATTATTTTATCCGGGGATTATCTTGTACACTGACCTCTACCTACGTTTAACACATCATTTCCTACCTTTGAATTCACCAGACTAAAAGACGTTATAATATCATGCGACTTAAGGGCACGGTCTCGCCTACGTTACGTAATTGACGTCCAGCATTCATACCTAGTCTGCATTGATTAAGAATACCAGAAAGGCACCAGACTATTCCAGAACACGAAGGATGCTTAAACTTGCATTAAGCTTGCGATATAGCATGCAGTAATTTTTATCTGAGGACACCAAATTTAACTCAAAAATTCTAGAAACAGACTCCAAGACACAAGCTTCACTCTCACCTGCGAGTCTTTGAGTCCCAGCTTGGCGGCCAGCTTCTTCCGGTCGGGTTTGCTGATGTACTTCTGCTGTTGGAACTTCTTTTCCAGTCCCTTCCGCTGGGCGTCCGAGAACACCGCGCGCCGCAGCATGCCTCGGCGGGGCTTGCCGCGCGCGGCCCCCGGCCAAGGGAAGGTCCCGGGCACGGGGATGACCGAGGATGGAGTGACTGGAAAAACAAAACAAAAGTGAAGACAGGTTTGAAATAACTGACTCTGTGTTTGCATCAGTCAGCTCGCATCTGTCCAAATCAGGTTATGGACGCTGTAATTATTTATCACTGGATTAATTAAAACTTGTCCACACTATAGACCACAGTGAGGGCGCTCTATGCAATCTCTCTATTTGCACGGGTGTATCCTGGTAACCTTTGACCTCTTGAATGGATGCTTACGTCATAGCTGAACCTAGAGAGGAAAAGACACCATGAATAACTTTTGAGAGCAAAATGAAGACTGAATGGCATTTGGTCATTTGGCCATTTGGAAAAAGGACAGTCAAACTGGCGGAGCCTCTCCTTGCGAAATCGGTGCCTGATCAGAGGTAAGAAAATAAAGAAACAACAGGTGCTAAGCATGACATATTTCTTAGCATATAATGAGCCAAGCCAAAAAAAAAAACAAGCTTAGAACCAGTCACAAGTAATAAGCACTGTAAGACATTTTTACTGTTAACCTGTTTTGCTAAGCAAATAGTAGCACCATGGAATAGGCCTTACACTATAAATATTGACCGGTTCTATAGTTTAATATTACCCCGGGACAGCGAGCATACACTTATTACTAACTTCCTCTCAATTCTCTCGAAAATATTGACGACTGTTTAATGTAATCTTTGATTTCCGAAGGGGCATTGTTGATAGTGCCATTGCTAACGTGTATGTGAGAGAAGTTGCATCGAAGTGTCTTGCTCAAGGACACAAGCACCGCCAACGGTGGGAATGAGAAAAAGAACCGCCCGAAGGACCGTTCGGCGTCATTTTGCCACGTGTGCACTGGTGCCCGGAGAGTTGTGAATGGTGAACCAAGTGAAAACGCGCGAACCAGCGAAATGTCCTTCACAATGCTCTCGTTGTGTAGAACTTCATAGCGCCCTCTTTGCTTATGCACGGAGTCGATAGACAGTACGATCTAGAATCAGTCAGAAGCTAGAAACCATGAGGTATCTCCGATACGTACGTAGAGCCTCTTTCATAGTATAATGCTAAGCTATTTTGTTGAGCAGAGTGGATTAAGTTGTGCTGACACACCACTCAACGTGTTTCCCCCGGCCGTCTGTCATTACAGCAGACCTCTGGGCGGGGGAATAATTGGACACTTTTATGGCCAATTCCCGCCATTTTGCGCACGCACGGCAACGCTACGCGCCCAATTTCTTTTTATGAACCGCTAGTATTAAAGCCGTGATGGTTATGGGCCCAATTTGGCCCGAATTTATGGGCAAACAAGTGGAATTTATGGCCAGTTAACACCGGGGGGATTGATTTGTTGATCGGGGGTGGGAGGGGGGGGGGGGCAGGGGGTAGTGGGGGACATTTTAAGTTAAGGTGGTGAGTGCTCAGTTCGGCCCGTGTCGCGTGCGCGGTCATGGCTAGTGAAAGTCAATGGGGTGTGAGGCGGGACCCCAACGGCAAGGTCGCGCCCGGCAGCAACGCGTGCTTCTCCGCCATTCCCGGAAGAGACAACACTTCTTGTCTGCTATAAAGAAGAGACCGAGGAAGCACATTTTATTCATAAGCGTACTGTCATTTTTGTTGTGCCAGAGGGCCACTATATAGACACTACACTCACCCTATCTTGCTGCATTGTGTTGTTCAACTTTCAAGAATTGCTCTTTGAATGCATGACTGGCAAAAAACTTGCAACATACAAGGGCGGATCCGGGGGGGGGGGCAACGGGGGCCATGCCCCCCCCCCCCACCCAAAAACGAACCCAATTTTTCTTTATTTTTAAGTGTCGTCGCAATAAAGGCAGGCACTGCGTACACCACCATCGTTTCCTCCAAAGAAAAATGGTTAAAGTAGTCAGATATTGCCTCAGATCGAACCACAGAGCATCTAGAATCCAAAAAAGTTTCGGGGCCCATAGATCTCTAACAGTCATGAATCCTCCAATTTTAATACGATTTTGCATACCCCCTAGGGAGTTAGGGTTAAGCAGGCCCCAAACCCCACGCCGTCATTTTTGGGACCCGCTTCTTTTTGTTCTGCCCCCCCCCCCCCCCAAGAACAAATTTTGTTCTGGATCCACCCTTGGCCACACTCCCACGCCACATTCTAGCACCAATCAACCAACTTTATTCCCGCCAAACTCACTATACTACAAAAACCAACGAAATTCTGTGATGTAACAATTTTAAAATTAACTTCTAACAAAGAGTACGCATTACAAAACAGTCTTTTCACTGCTATGAATAAAGGACGACAAATAAAAAAAAACTCATTCACAGATAAAACTACCAGAAACCGAAAACCTCTTATACAACAACAGAAAGCCCTGAATACATAAGAAAGAAAAAATGACTCGCTCCAAGTCCGGTAATTCAGATATTTTCATTGACTTTCTGACTTAAACTCTTCGCCAACGGGGGGCTATTTGTTCGAGACGGGGTGTTGACTGGCGTGACAGCGGACAAAAGCTCGTGGGTGAGAGGCCCACTTGAGCCGGGGCGAAGTTCCACAGCCGAGACGGCCACTTGAGAAATGTTGCCGTTGCGCCCATGCAAGAGAAAACAACACAAACAATGACATGACACCACCTAAACCTATTCGAAACCCCGATAACGCTTGAAGGAATCATTCAATGTACAGTCGTGAACATGAGGGGTTTTCGAAACCACGGATTCGTCTCAAATTTGACTCATCACTGGCACCATCAGAGTCATCTCAGGGACAGGGGCGGATCTAGCTTTCACGAGACAGGGGGGGGGGAGGTGTTGATATGAAGTGGATTGACTGAAGGCTTGCTATAAACCATTATCATGTTGCGGCCATTTCGATTTTTCCCATTCAAATCGATGTAACCAAAGCGAGGCTGGAAGGGAAAATAGTCTGGTTCCTTTTTGCACAAAAAAAATTATCATTCATTACTGTTATTGGAGACAGGGAAATGACTGAAATGGTGGCAGCATGATAAAGGTCATATAGGGAGAGGAAAAAGTTGAAAACTATACGACTCTTCCTCTTGCATTTTATAAGGCAATTCGAGAATGAATTTAAGAACTTTAAACTTATTATTGTTGGCCCCATTTTACTAGTACATTATGTAACATAACATTTGTCAGCGGCTGAACTGGGGGGGGGGGGATAACCACCCCTCCTCCCCCCCCCCCCCCCTCACCAGATCCGCTACTGTAGAATACCCGGATGTCTCTCTCCAGCCTAATTCAATGCATGCATTTTGTTCTCCAGCTGATTCTCGTAACAGGAGAAATGCGCTTAATGAAAAATAACAGCCCATCCTTTTTTGATATACAGCAATCATAATATTACCACTTAACTCATAAGCCGCTCGTTGATAGCCTAATTTGAGGCTGTAAACATTATCCCTTCAATAAAAATCACCACAACAAACAAGCTGTTGTGGAAATTTCTGCCTCAAAAGGCTGGCAATATTTCATGGCATCCCCTTTGTGTATTCGGCTCAAATCAAATTAAACAGTCAAAATCAAACCTACCACCGCTCCCGCTTTGTAAAAACAGGGGGGAATCTTCTAATGGGCACAGCACTTAAGTCATAACGCAGAGTTTGAAATCAAAATAGTGATAAATCACTATTAAACTCAATCGGTCTGCAGCCGTCCCCTGAGTTTTTAAATGCAAACCGCGTTTACACGTATCAGCTTCTGTTGGGCACGTGCGCGCTGATGCGCCGGCTCGAAGTGAGACTGATGTTTTGTCAGACGAAATCAGGACAGAAAAAAAAATACTGCGCCAAGTTGAGATTCCCGATCTGAAGAATAAATCATGTTATTTTAGGCACTCCAAAATCTGTGTTGGTTTCGATCCTCCGTATATAAGTTCCGACATTGCGCACAAGGCAGTAAAGCCCTGTGTCTATTTCATGACTGATGACAACTGGCTCGTGAAACAGCCGTATACACTTTCAGATTAAAACAGATTGGTTTTTTTTTTTGCCGGTCAAAGAGGACCTCCCTTTAGACTTTATCAGGCTGCCGGCCATTTTAGTCAGGGTCACTATATCCAATAACAGTACTGAATGATAACGATTTTTGGAACCAGCCTATTTTCCTTCCAGCCTCGCTTTGGTTACGTTGATTTGAATGGGAAAAATCATGATGGCCACAACATGATGATGGTCTAGTGTCCTCTTCGTATCTGACTGACTGAATGACTCGTCTGATTGACTGACTGTCACTTGTGAAGTAGACTTGCAAAAGTCTCTCACTGACTAGAAATGACGACACAAGCTGTCACTCTGGGGCCAGCAAACAGTGGTAAGCAAGTTCCTCCACGGAACCTCCTTTCCATCAAATCCTTATCTTCGAATAAAAGCAGGGATACGTACATGAAACAGTCGTGCGCGACCTTAAAACGACGTGCCAGGATGAGCACTTGTATTTCCCAAGATACAAGTCCCTCGGGTGAGCGTCAACTTGTGGTCCGCATGCTCGCGACGAACCTCCGGTGCGGCCCGCCGCCCAGCTAGCCCCGCTACGGACCCCGTGTTTCCCCTTACTCGACTCCCGTATCTGGGCTGACCGCGCGTGCATAACTTTTTATGGTGGGCCTGTCCCACAAAAAAATAACTTGCCGTCGAGGCCCATAAAAATTAACCTGTTTAAGTTGCTCCCGCTAACAAGAGATAATTGCGCAGCATCATAGCATATCCAGATAATTCCGAGCTAGTCTACATACAACCTCTTGGGGGGGGGGGGGGAGACCTTGCATTCTGACGGCTTTATGTAGCGTATTCGGTGCTTGGTTTTAAGGTAGATGGTTTTGTCGTTAGTCCAGTGATTGCTGTGACCTAGTCCCCCAATTAAACTTGACAAATTACCGCCCGGCCGTAGCGGGAGTTGACGAATATATCAAAAGGTTTCTGAACTGGACAAATTTGCTTTTTCGGATGATCTGAGAACATAAGGGAAGCTAATTGGGGTACGAGTACTGATTGGGGAAGGTCGAATTAGAATTAGAATTAGGGTTAATTTTGTAAATGAGTTTATAAAATATTATTGCAATCCCTGGAATACCAGTTTAAGACTTGCATGTTGACTTAATATCCGAACTCTGGTAGAACTGGTATAGAACTGGTTCCCGCTTTCGTTCATGGTGAAGTAACATTGAACACGAATACCAGCCAACCCTGTAACGTTTAATGGTACTGAAATAAAGGAGTTTTCGAAATTTTGGCTTCTTATCGGCTTCGGTTCCATTACCTGGCTCTAGATATAATAGCCTTTAATATCTAAATGAAATGACAGTCATCATTATAGCATTTGATGTTTCATGCAGAAGCAAAACATGGATCCATATCGACCCAAACTCGGGATCGTAAAATGTCTCAGTATATCCGAAGCCGAGGACGAAGACAAGGTTTCGAAAACACCCTAGAAAGGTGCCCTACCTACCCATCGTATAATTTCTTTGCAACTGAACAGGTAACCAACCTGGTAAAAACGGGTTCCGCCCTGCCATGGAGGAGTGCACACCGGTTCCGTACAGCGGTCTGGTGAGGTGAGCCAGGGACGCGCCCAGGTGTTTGTAGCCTCCGCTCAAGGCGCCACTCACGGATGTTGTGCACATGGTAGGCGCACCTTGAGAAAAGACAATAAAGCTGGTAAGTTTGTCGTTCCGTTAATTACTGTAGATTTTGGTTTGTAGTTGTAGCCTATTACACAAATCTGCGAATGTGAAATAAGGCAGCAATTTAATTATTAGAAACTCAGAAGGAGAAAATTAATGATGATTCAAAAGTCAGCAGGTCATAACCATGAGACTTACTTGACGATATTTGAGTCAATAGAGGGCGGTTTACATTTCAATACAACAAAGAAAAGAGAGTAGTGTTTGTAAAAAAAACACCAGTAAATGGGCACAATTGTTAAATTCTTATTTAAAGTTCTGCCCGACGATTGTTACTTCGCATTCCCGTGTATTTTTGTTGCCATGCTTTGGCTTATTGGCATGGTCAAGCTGTAAGAAAAGTCACCCCAAAAAGATAAACGAAAGGTTTTTTAATAATAAGAAAAATTCCAAAGCCAAGAGCATATGATGCGCTGAGAGTCGTGAATAGATTAAAGGAAACGGCACTATTTGCAAACATTCAAAATGAAAATGTCAAAATATCATGAAATATTCCTACTTGATTGTAAGTAAATAACAGGACCAAAGCATCAGGTGAAATCGTTGCGCCTAGTATGCTGTCTTTCGTGAAAAGAGAGTTTATAATCATTTCCTCGCGATGGTCCGGGCGGATCCAGAACACAATCTTTGGGGGCCAAAAGAATGTTGGTCCCCAAAAATGGGTCCAAAAAAATTACGGCGTGGGTTTCGGGGCTCACGTGAAGGCCCCGAAGTTTTGTTGGATTCTAGCGAGATGCTCTGTGGTGTGATCTGAGTCAATTTCTGACTACTTTGACCAGTTTTTGAGGAAAAAATTGTGGTGTACGCAAAACCTGCCTTTATTGCGACGTCCTTTAAATTTTTTTGTTTGGGGGGGGGCCATGCCCCCGTTGCCCCCCCCCCCCCCCATCCGACCGAGGTATATGTCCAAACCATCACGCTTTCAACCGAAACCTATGCTTTGCATCGAGAAAAAATTAATGTAGATACATTTTCACAGTTGTCTCAAAAAGTCTATCAACTGAGCTGAACTTTCGACGGATTATTCTTTTCAATAAACTGCTCAGATTCATTGTACTGTTGTTCGTTCAAAAGATTGGTGTCCGTCACCTTTAAAAACACTAAAAAGTGCGACATTGGAATACGTAACTGGATAAGCGCTAAGCAAGCCATCTGATGATGAAATCAATAAAACGAAATGAAAACAGCAAATAATTCCAAACCACGACGAAATCAGAGATAGTAAGGAACAGCTGACGCCGACGTCGCAACAAAAGGGGAAAAACAAATGGCAATCAAATAAAACCAGTCTTATCTGGATACAGAGACAGCGTTCTGATCGCGATTAAGAGAAATTGTTTTGAAAATAGATGACGGTGTTTCCTTTCGAATTTCAAAACATCTCGCACTTTCCGGATCGACTTTCAGGAAATGTGCTCTCTCTCTCTTTAAAAATAGTGCAAACTATTGCAACATAATTACTCTAGATTTCTCAATGGTTCCATTACAAATATTTAACATTGTTCTCCATCATACAAATTTCGCATTTACTTTCGTCACCGAGTCCGAGGTCTAATCTCGAGAGATCTCGCGCGTTTCAAAACAAAAATCCACACGACATCTTGAAATTCAATTAGTCTCATCTTTTCTTTCAGCAGATGAAAGGATATTACATCTTCAAATTCAAGACAGAAAAGCTTTTAAAAATTTGATCCCGTAAACAAAGGACCCTCGCAGAGCTGGAGAGATCACTCGGCAATAAATCACTGCTCATGCTAACTTGCTGTCCCTCGTTCAACCAATACGGGCTCTTCTTACTCCGACGGTCGGCCCGCCAGCCACTCACAGCCAAGCTTCTTTAAATACTCGGTTTCATTGGGATTGTTTTGGCCCAATCACCGCCAGCGGACAAGTCACCAGCGCGTAGCGCGTGTGCGTGCGGGTTGCCAGCGCGCGCGGCGCGGCCAACTCCGACCGTCCATTGGCTATTATTGACGGCGGGGGCATAATTAGCAATGCAACACCAGTCACGGTACACGACGTGTAAAAAAAAAAGAAGGAAATACGACATATTAACTGATATGCCGCCTAAGCTCCAGGCCCCCGCTCCTATATCCCTAATTTAATTAACTTAATACGCATTTTATATTGACAGTGTGTGGCACGCTTAGGGCGAGGATTTCTTCTTTTTACTCACTCGTTAGATGATAGTAGTTGAAACCGCAGGCAATGTGTAAAAAAGGGGCGAATCTAGAGGGTTTTTATTGCATCAACTCTGTCGGCTGTGCTTGGGTTGGACTGGTGAAATGCGACCGGTTTCATTTTCTCCAAAAGAAATTTAATGGGGTTCTCAGTTTGAATACCGTTGAATTCTGTATGAATTTTAAAACTTAAATACAGAAAATTTTACCGATATCGCAATATAACTGCGGATGTTAGTATATAAGAAACTTGTTTTAAAAAAGGGAGGGTGATTTTAATATAAGATAAAAAGAGGTTTAAATGAGCAAAAGTGAAGGGAAAAAAAGGAAACTGGTAATAATCAAAGAGTGGACGACATTGTAGGACAGTAGAGAAGTTAATTTCCAATTGAAAAATAAAGAATTGTTTCCCACAAATTAAAAAAAAAAAGTGCAACTGTATACAAGGGACAGTTTGGTACAGTCCAATGGAATACATAGATGACAACAAATTCACATTAGACAGCACGACGGACAGACAAGCTAGTGGGTTACTTTGTGCACGACGGACAGACTCCGATCGGCTTTTCAAACATCCCTTGTACTCATATTCAGTGTGTCGAAGACAATCAGCGACTATCTATAATCGTCTTTTGTGCCTGTGACGTCTCAAGATCACCATGGCATACGATAGAGGCCGGACGGGTATTGGGAATTGAACTTTGTTGCGATCGTCATGACGAGCATCGAACAGACTGAGTCGTATAAAGTGGCAAATTTGATTTTACTATACTGTAGACGATCCCGGGCGGACTTCGTAGAAAAAAGGCAAAATGATGTTAAAAAGAAATGGTCAAAAAAGGCCGAATGACCCTGGGAGAAATCGGAGATTTTTTATGCTTTCTGTGGTCATTGGTATTGGTTGTAAACTTTGTGTTCTTTTCCTACTGTCATGCATACAAAAATAACCCTAGCTCTAGCCCTATGCATTCAAAAATAAAAGTATAGGGTAAATATTTAGCAAAGATTATGTTTGAATGCAAGATGAAAAAAAACACCGAATTCAGATCTGAGTTAACTCTTCCTAACTGTCAAGATGTCGGCCCTTACCCTGTCAAACTATTTATTGAAAGGAAGAGAAAGTTTGTTTGTATTTTCCACGGTGTTTACTCACCCTGCGACGAGCATGCTTCGGCCGAGAGAATCGCGTTCACGCCGAATTTGAGTCCGAAACCGTGTTCGCATGCGGCCACCACGCCAGCACCGGCGGCGGGCGAGGGGCTGCCATCGCCCCGGCCCTCAGCGCTACCGTTCCGCTGATGATGATGTTGCTGCTGCTGTTGCTGCTGCTGCTGGGTCTGGCGGAGACAGTTGCACGTGGTGCAGGAGGCCGGGTGCTTGGGGATGGGTTTGTGGATGGGAGTTCTGTGCGAGAGAATGTCTTTGACCAGGAAAGAGGTGGTGGAACCGGCCGGTTGGACTACGGCCGGCTGCTGCTGGTGTGCCTGGTGATGGTGGTGATGGTGCTGGTGGTGGTGATTCTGTGGATGGTGATTGTTGGCTTGCTGTTGCTGTTGTTGCTGCGGTTGATGATGATGATGCTGTTGCTGTTGCTGCTGTTGGCGGGGTTGCTGGAGGGACCCTGCTCCCGACATGGGCACCCGGAAGGCCTGGGGCCTGAAGACGGTGTGGTAGAGCGGGGAAGGGGCGAGCAGGCCCCCGAACGGGGGCTTGTCCTCTCCGCGATCTCGGTCCAACCGGCACAGTAGATGGGGCACGCCGTGGAGACTGTGTTGGGCGTGCAACGTCGCAATCGAGCTGGCAGGAGCGTAGGTATACGGGGGCTCCCCTGGTAAGCTTCGCGCATCCACTGTCGTCATGTTTTTGTTTTCTTCCAAACTCTGCAAAATCTCTCTCGCTGTTTTTTCAAATTGAAAAGGTTTGATTTTCTTTTGCTATAGCCGACGTTGATTTATTGTGTCTCCACGTGCTGGATGCATGCACTCAAATCAAAAAGAACACTGAAATATAAAAACTCCCCCTTAATAAAGTTCCAGATTTCCGTACCGTCGCTCCGCCGCACACATTTCCAACTGATGGCCTGAATGTTGGTTTGCGATAAGTTGGTCTATACCCCCTATGAATTATACACAGGGGCTGGTGTTCGAGTAATAAGTTTTGCTTGTTTTGGCTTTTTAATGCCGCGCGGGGCTGATTGGCAGGCCGGGCGCGCTCTCCCATTGGCCGAGGGCCGCGTGACGAGCGCGGATCCTCGCACTTCCACCGCGGGAGCATCAATGAAAGTGGGCGGGGCCTGCGGGCAAGGTAACCAAGTGCCGTATTTGACGACATGTTTATATACACTGGCTAATAGTGGTTGCGGCGATTGCAATTATCATCATAATACGGGGTGATTATATGGGGCAATGTATATATGTGTGTCTAAGGTATTATATCCCCCTCCCTTGTGTGTGTGTGTGTATATACATGTATAGCACACAGGATGAGATTGTCGCGATTTGGTCGCGTGTGGGCGCTGTGCAGGGAACCACAGTAAACTCCACACTTTATATCCCCGCGAGATTTTTTCCTGGTGTCGGATATACGTGGACGTTAGTCGTTCACCGTGCACACCACGCATCGACCACGCGCGGGGCCCGCGCCGTCTCGCCACGGCTGGTCGCTTACGCCGCGCCGCGCAAGGACCGGGGCGTTGTGCGGTTGCCGCCCGGTGCTAGAAAACGCCGTGTTGCGAGCACTCGGTCATCAATCAGAACCGGCGAAACCACCAGATCTTCCCCCCTCCATCACCACCACCAACTATCTGCCGTTTAATGTACCGGGCGGGGGGGGGGGGGTGTCTGATGGACAGGGGGCGGGCACTTAATATGGAGGGTAGGCCTATACTAATTAAGACACTACCAGCAACAATTAATTTATACCCTGTTTCCACCGGAGTATATACGAGTCAAACAAAATTGGGTAAACAAATTCAGCAAGTGGTTAATGGATTCTAATAAATTATTTCCCCTAAATTAAAAAAAACAATGCATGCATGACCACGATTTGCAATCCAAACCACAGCTCTCATGAAAAGAAAAATGCAAACAAAATGGGAGGTTTTAACAGCTCAACATAGTGACCCCTTATTTTCGCAAGACAAGTGACAAAAATACCGGCAATTAAAAAAACGAGCCATTTTTTTTCCAATACAAAAAAATGAGATCGGTTTTATCAGTTTTCTTCTTCCATTCCAATTAGTGCCAAAACGGCACGATAGCTGTACTTCTCTGTAGTTCACAAACTGCAGCAGTGGACAAAAGTAAATCAAAGCAATGATAACGATCACAACAACAAAAAGATAAGGTTTCTGAAAAGAATTGAACAAAAAAAATAAACCACAACTTTCCATTCATAAGCGTTGAAATGACTGCGGGAAAAAAAGTCGGCTATTGTTAACAGAGTCAAAGTCGTTGGTAGGCCGATTGGCACTCGTAGAGGCATAAACAGCCTCTTTTGCTCTAACCAAATCACCCATTATTTCTCAGCGGCACGTACGGATTTCTTTGTATCGTTGGGTAATCAAAGAGAAAGGACGAACAATACCCCCCCCCCCCCTCGGAAAAAAAGACGGACAATTTCCGATTGTTTCCGCGTTCGAGCCGAGTGCCCTTCGGACCGGACTCAGTCAGACACATCATGCGCGCACAGCGCGTGCGCGCTGGGTATGGGCCAAAAACAGCCAATCGGGCGCCACCGTATGAATGACGTACTCGATTCCTAGTGAGCATGTGCTGTCCATGCAATCAACTCCCTGTCTCTTATACTTGAAGGCATCTTGGGTCATTTACATTCATTCCAAAAGTAACCTATACCGAATTATTACCAAAAAGTTTACTTGGATTAAAGGTCGTGCTGGTACTAAATACTTCGTTGAATTATTCCGTCTGGCTTGCTGTCATTAGTTTAAGAAGAAACTCACGATAATGCATGGATGATTTCCAACGATAAGTCCTTTGACTGATTTCTGGAAATATAGAGTGCTATGGACGAAGTCGTGTTTCGTGATCAAAAGGTTGTGCATGGTTTTTCACTGTTTTCTCGAAAAGTGTAATATCCACTGAGCTGAGACGTCAAAATGTTAGGTTTTGAACACTCTTCTTTGGATTTTGCGTGGTTTTAAGGAAACGAACAAAATGCATGAAAAGCAAATGATCCTATTTAATTGATCATTTGGTATTTTTGTGGAATAAAAGAAAAAGATCACCAAGTATATTAAAAACATGTTATAGTGCGACTTTCGGGTTAAAGCTCACTAACCGTTCTGTCAGCTCTTAGTACACAGACTTTTAAATGCCGGGCCACACAACTCCCTTTTATAGGTTTTCCCGGCCAATCTCCTAAAATGTACATTCATTTCTGAAAATCGGTCATTCAGTTTCGTCTGAATTTGAGAATCGCTCTGAACACGCGTTTCATTTTCGCTACCAGAGCATTCGATTCCATTTCAGTTCAATCAATTAAGTGATTGAGCAGCACCTTTCGTTAATGTCCATTCAGATTCGTTTACAAGACTTCTTTTTCGCTTTTAGAGGGCGATTTCAAACGATCACCCTTCTTTTTCACTTTTAGTTTAATGCCATCGGCACTAGATACAATTAGGGGTTTCTGTTTTTCATTAACCGTCAATCAAATTAGCTGTACCTGAAATCAATTTAGAAAAGGTATGCTTGCGTAAATGAATGCACAGGTAACGTAATTGGCTGTCTGTTTCTCAACATGCACCGAATGCACGGACAAATGAAAACGATTGAACTTGCGTTGATTTGAAATGGGATTAAAGACGTGCATTCAGATTCAGACGAAAACGAATGAACGATTTTCAGAAGTGAATGAACATTTCAGGAAATTGGCCGGGAAAACCTATATTATGATTGCACTTACGGGCAAGAAAATCATGAGAAAGGTCGGGATAAGGAACATTGTCCACCTCAATACGGGTCTGCTATTCATTTCAATGCTTGTAATTGAACACACACCTCAAAAGAGCGTGCACGCAGTACAGCTCATTGTGCGGCGGTAAAAAGTGTAGAGAGCCCTCAACGTCCTACTGCCCGGGTTCGCCCCGGGCGATGGGCAATTTTCGACTTAGCAGAACGAGAAGTTGTTAGAACATTGACATTGAGGTAGGGAAACAAAATGAATGTATCGATATATTTTGTTGAGATAGGTGACTAGCTGATATTTTGACAGCTTTTAAAGATGCACATTATTAGGGCTATTAATCCTAATGGAAGGTCTCAATTCATGCACGAAATTAAAAGTGGCTGTCCACAAAAATGTTGCATTTACCAAACAATAAACCACTCCACTGATACGAATAAAAATTACAACATTGACTTATTTCTGCTCCTGCTTTTCGAATATTCTGTTGGGCAAAATGCTTATCGGTATTTGGCGGATGATCGAGTATTCGGATATTCAATATACAGCATATCCCAAAAAGTGTCCGTTTGACTATTTTTGTTTGAAATAACTACAAAACCACGAAGTCAATGTTGAAACTTTTTTGGTTGTGCAGATACTCCTAAGTTGGCCTCAACCCCTATGAGTTTCAATTAATTTCAGTCACGCATCACTGCACAATTGTCAATTGATCACAAAACAACATTTTTGGACACTGTGACCAAATTTCTTGCCTTATTCACTTTCAGTACTGTGTTAAGTAAGGTGTGTAAAATCCTTCGTGTTGAGAAAAGAGCCGTATTAACCATGACCACTATGAACTACATTGACAAAAACAACATTTCTGGAGTATAAAAAAAACTATTTCTGAAGTCTTTTAACAGCCATATCACTCGTCTGAGGTCGGATTCTTGTTAAATTACGGTGCTACCGCGGTACCGATCCTGGAGTGGCACAGCCGCGGGGCACTTTGACGCTACAGGCCCGCGGGGCATGAGCGATCGGCGCGCGCTTGGAACTGGCCGTTCACTAGCGTGTTATTCCGTATATACCTGTCAATCTCGCCGGCGCATGACCGTTTTTCAGAGCTGGGCTCAACGGGGAAATATATGAATATTCCCCGCCTTCACGGTCCATAGTTTTCCAGTACCTTCGTAGACCGCACCCTCTGCTGATAAAAGAAAATAACACGTGCGTTGCGATGAATTAAATAAAATAGACTGTTGGCTCGAATATATTCAAGGGAAAGGATTGAATAGAAGGGGATTATTTTAAGAATAAAACTTTGAAGGGCCGGCCGCCAATGTAATATAATATTTTTTTTAATGCAATCCTTGTAGACGCACCTTTGTGTCCCCTTTAACTTTATTTTCAGTTTGCATTTTTATTGCCGTTTTCAAAGGTTAAATAGGTGCCGTTTTGGTTTTAATGTTTAATGAAAAGTTCCATATTCATAAGCAAAATGTGTTGTCATTTTAGGCAGAAACCTCAGTAATACACTTTTTCAGCACCAAAAGTTGACAGAATTTTGGATAATTTGTTGTCGTAAATTTTCTGGGTTTTTTGGGGGTGATTCGTTGTTGTTTCAGTACAGGACAGTAAGTCAATGAGAAAACTTTTCTCACAAATGTTTTAAAATGAGCAATTTTTTGGGTTCCTAAACTGACGAGTGTGTTCCTAAAATGACATCGCAGCAAGAGCGCCCTCGGTTATCAGGAAAAACGTGGAACATTTTTAAATGATATAGTCCATTTACCAAATGGTTTCTGTTCGGTTGAAGCCAAGAGACCATGACGTAATGTAGTCTGAGTTTCGCCCGTTATCCACGGAGCCTGTCTCCTGTCTAACGTCTGATGTATCTAAGCATGCGTGACGTCATTTCATTCCGAAATGAGGACTAAGATTGTGATTGGTCAATTTCGATGCCGCGTTTTTGTAAAACAACAACCTGTACAAAAACGCCACTCATCGTGGGCGTGACGTTTACGCATCACGCGGGGAGCTCGAATTACGCGCGCATAGAAGGCTGCTGATTGGTCAGTTTCTCGAGGTCATACGCAGTTTAGTTGCATAATTAATCACCGAATCTGTTTACCTATCATAGACCATGGTCGACTTCGCCGTAGTCTGAGTATCACCCGTTATCCACGGAGCCAAGTCTCCTGTATAACGTCTGATATGTCAAAGC